AAACGATCATGCTGCCATAGCCAAGGCCATGGTTACTGCTTTCACCATGGTTACTTGCGTCATGCCGGCGCGAGAACCACTTGACGGTCGACAGGTTCACCGTGGTGGAACTCTGTCGGCGGCGCTAGGCCCCGAGCGCTGCTAACGGTGCCGTGAGATGCGCCGGGTTTATTATTTTCAACCCTGAGTTATCCAGACAGCATCAACCTGTTAGTTTATGCGATTCACTTCCAGTCCCACTGAATGCAGAGAGAAATCAAGACTACACGAGGATACAAGTTGGTAAACCATCCCACCTAAGGGCGGCCTTAGACACTTCTCGGTTGGTAAACCATCCCACCTAAGGGCCTCCTTAGACACTCCTCGGGGACGTGACTCCAAGGATTTCGTCGTCGTTCCACCTATCCTCGAAACCTATTTTCGAAAAACAAATGTGAAAATAGTCCGAGTACAAATCCTCGGGCTCCGAGGATTTCCCAGGCGAATCGTCCTCAGGTCCGGGGACCTCGTGAGGTCCTTTGGAGCCCGAGGATCTGCGAATCGCGGGTTGGCGGCGTCAAGCTTTAAACTAGTAGGGGACTTTTGTTGCCGGCCACCGAGCCACTTAGGTCAGTACCCCTAAACGAATAAAATACATGTTCTGATTTTCTTTTTTTTTTACTGAACGTTCTATTTTGGGAAAAACGGTAGAAAAGATGAAAGAGAAAAACAATAAAGCAAAACGATAGACAAGAAAGGAGAAAATAGCAAAACAGACACAAAGAGTTACATGCGGGAGAGAACAAGTGAGAGAAAGAGAGGGAGCGAGGGAGTGCTATCATTTTTTATTTTTTTTTTGCGGATGATAAACATGGAAAGCAAACATCAAGAAAAAAAAAAACAAATCAAAATAAACTAAATAAATTTTAGAAAAAAAAGAAAAAGAAGGTCATGCAGGCGGTATTTGCAAAGCGATAAAAAATGTGCATTTTAACAGTTCAGGGATGTGCCGCCAGAGAGAGAGAGAGAGAGAGAGAGAGAGGTGTTTTTTTTTGTAAATGTGATAATCAGGCTCCAGTGGAGTTCAAACTCGGACCTGCATTTTAACAGTTCAGGAGAGGGAGGGGAGGGGGAGAGAGAGCGAAAGAGAGAGAGAGAGAGAGAGAGAGAGAGAGAGAGAGAGAGAGAGAGAGAGAGAGAGAGACAGAGAGAAAAAGAAAAAAAAAAAAAAAAAAAAAAAAAAAAGAGGGAAAGAGAAAGAGAGTTGTTTTGTTTTTTGTTTCCCCCTTTCTTTCGAGTTCTATTTTCTATGTGTGTTCTTGTGTTACCATGTTTTCTCCTCTCTACCTTTTTTTATGCTTCTTTGGTTAGGTTGTTGTGCCAAGTGCAGTACATGACTAAAGGCAGGAGATTTGTAAGAGCCTTAGTATGATCAGTCAGTGTGTTTGAGCCTAAGTATGACCCATCAACATGATCCAAACTAAATGGGTGGCAACCCATTTTTTTTTTCTTAAAAAAAATAAAGAAAAAGAAAAGAAATTGTCATCAAGATTTATGACCGGCTCTTGAGGTAATTCAAAGTTAATCTCTATAACAAGGGTTTGTCAGACCTCTGATCCCCCTGTTACCCTAGAATCAGAACTCAGGTCTCTCTATCATCAGTTGGTAGTCTGTTTCTGGTCTTTACGTCTCCACGTATGTGACCAGAATCTTTTTGTGTTTGCTCGTTTCTTGCGATCATACACACACTGCTTGTTCGTCATGCATGTAGAGAAATAGAGCGGGGGTACTCCGTCAGCAACATAAACAAAAATCGGAGTGAACTTCCCTCTAAAATGCGGTAATATGCATCTGCTCCCATTCCCCTCGACATAGCCAAACCTTCACTTCTTGATTAATGAATCTGTTTACTATCTCCCAAATCTGACACCGTAGTTAGGCTTGCCCTGTCCGATAACCCCGGAATCCTTTTTTTTCATGCCCGTTTTCATCAAGAGTCGGGCGAAATCTTCACTTTTCATCCTCTCCTTCTCCATCCTCGCCACCTCTGCTCGTCACCTTTCCCTCTTACTCCTCTTCCAACTAATTCTCCCTCTATTCTTACTTCACCAATGGATTCGCCGTGGCCAACAACCCCCATATAGGATCTTCACTCACTAGTTTTCATCAATGATCGGGTAAGTTTACGATTTTTGCTTCCACCACATTCTGTCTGCACCACCCCTCCATATCTTCGCGCACTACCTTATCTTCGTATCTCCTAACCTGCTAACTTCTTGCCTACTCTGACCACCGATTGGTGGTCGCCCCGGCCTAAAACCCCTGCGTAGCATCTTTCCCCGCTCGTTTTTATCAAGAAACGAGCGAGGCACACGTCTTGGACTTCTGCCATAGCTGCTTCCCCTCGCCGTTACCTTCTTCCTCGCCCTGCATGCACCCTGTGGAACGTATCGTCTAGGTTCACTCGCCCTTTTCCTCTATTCGTCGGATGTCAAACTGAGCGTTAATCCAAACACCACGAAGAGGCCCCGTGCGATACAGACAACAGGATGGTGGTCACGAAAACCAAAATCAGCTAAGGAGCTCGTAACAATTCACATGCGGGTTCTATTTGCCTGAAAATGGGCGGCACTACTGGGCACGGCCTATACTCGGCCGTGGTGGCCGCTCCAATGCAGCGACATGTAGGAGGGCGCAAGGCCTACTGTGGAACCTGCAGAATGAACCCAGGTGGGGCGGGTCATGATGCAAATCTTCGTGGTAGCAGGTTCCACGTGAACAGCAGCCTGGGCATTGCGACCTTTGCCTTGGTGCCCCAGCCTAGGCATAATCCACCGTCTTCCGAGTGCGAACGGGAATGCTCACACACAACCCTCTCGCAGCAGATTGTGGTTGGCGGACGATACGCCCGCAGCAACCCTCGCCTCCCTAGGGCTGCAGCCCTGCAAGGCCGCTTGGAATACTCTCCAATTCTCTTCCACTTCAGACTACCAACACTCTCCAAACCGGGAAGCAAGGGAAGCCACGACCTCAGACACGCTGGAAACCAAATGGGCCCTCCAAGAGAGGCGCGTGCTCAAGGTCCTTGACTGCCATGACGGCCACCCGGGGGTGGGGTTTCAATCAGTTCTTACTGCAATGCTGGTCACATCAGCCCATGCTGCACCCACATTCCACATCCACAAAAAGGGGGCGGCAGCGTGGGACTGCATCATCACGTAACTTCAAAAAGTCAGAATTTTACACAATTTCAGCCAACTCGCCAAACCCCGTTGATGACCGCTAAAAGCGATGTCGTACCTAATTAAAAAAGAAAAAAAAAACGCCGAAACATAAAAAATAATAACGTTGATAAATAATAAAATATTTAGGAAAAATTAATCGTCGCAAAACGACGGACGAGGAAAAGGAACCGCTAGTACCGCTTCGACTCTGTTGACGGCAAAACGAAGAGGGATAGCCCCGGTGGGCCCTCAACCCCTTGGCCTCTTCGAGTCGCTCCAATACTCCCACGTTGTCGTCGCTCGCTGACCTTGATCCATAAATCTCTCTGATGAAAGCCCATGACCATAACCAATCGTGTAAGCCTTTGGTTGAGTCTGGTACTAGCGGACACCTGCATAGCACGGCGAACGTGTTCGCGGTGCTTCCCGTCCACGCGAACAGGTCCCGAACACGTTGCGAGAACACATTTTCGGAGGCCGCGAACGTCGTTCGCGGGTGTCGGTACCGGTCGCCGGCGGTGGTCCTGGCGGGGGTTTTGAGGTTGTAGGGCCGGGTCGATGGGGGTGACCGGTAGTTAAGGCTGGCGGCAAGGGGCTGGGTGGAGGGGTTCGAAATCGCTTCCAGCGTGTATTCCCCCTAGCTGGAGCAGCGCGCAGAGGAGGCGGCCATGCGGGTGAGTCAGCACACACCCCCCCCCCCCCCCC